CTGAGTCATTACTCAATTATTATAGATAAGATGTATTTATATAAACAGTTCTTTGTGTAAATAAACATTAGTCTCTTTGGATATTTATTATAGTTTTTTATACTAAAATTTTTAGTTACCTGGACTATTAACGTTAATTTTTTTCTGGACAGCTCTTAAATAATTTTTTGAGTTAAAAGCTATTACAGCTGCTTCAACCCTAGTACCATAATTATTTTTCTGAGTAAAATTAATTCTTTTACCACCAACATGCTTATTAATTAAGCTATTCAATTGTTCACATGGATTATTATCTACATTCTCAATTAAACTATCAGCATTAACAGACAGTCTATACAATATATTTTTCATTTGGGACATCATTCCTGCTTTTTCTGCGTCTGGTACTAGATTCATCTCCCCAGCTTTAGATCCAGAACAAAAATACTCCGCGCATTTGTCGTGTTATCCAAGTCTGTGGTATAAACTATTTTCTATATCTTTTCTAAGTTCTGAAACAAATAAAATAAATTCCGTTTAACAATAATAAATTATCCAATAATTAAAAAAAACATATAGTTGACGGCAAAACAGTTGTTTCTTAAATACCTGTTATTTGATGCTGAACAGGTAAATTAGTGTTCAAATGATGTTCCATGGCTTTTGTTACATCAGAACGGAAACGCAAAATATTGTTAGATATACATTTTCGAACATTGATGGGATAATCTGCTCTTTTTGTTAAAGCCATCATTTTGGTGCAGTAATTTCTTAATAAGTGATTCCGACATTCAATTTTTTTTATTTGAAAATTACTACCGTATGGCAATACTTCATTAATTTTTTTTGTGACACTGCTATCACCATCTCCTATATTAATTAAATAACAACCCGTAAAAATAGACTGCTTAAATTAGTAATCTAGAATTATTTATACACTTTACCAATTAACTTATTATATTTTAAGCCATGCATATTTACACTTTGTAAAAAACCCTCAACAATAGCATCAGACTCCATTGAAGTTGAAGATTTACTCCAGTTTAAAAAGCATAAATGGCTAGGTGCTGCTTCTTTTTTTGTTCTAGCTCTTTGGCAAACACAACAATATCTATTTCTTATACCAATAAATAAGACTTTTTTGGTTTGCAAGCCAATAATTGCAGCCTACAATAAATTTGTTTAAAATTAAGTCTAAAATTTAAAATTCAGAACATTTTATGATCTTTAACAAATAAAAATATTAAATAAATCCTACAGCTCCTGAAAAGGCGTTTAATTTTGTTTTGTAACTTCTTTTGGACCATTGGCCATCTGCAATAACTGTGCATAATAGTACTCCTTTGTCATCAACATTTCCTCTCTCTAGCGCTATCCTTCTTTCTTCTTCACCGGCACTTTTCATTTCTTCTATTGCAGAATTATTAACAGAATCACTTACGTTATTCAAAATTTTTATGTATGATGTTGATGATAAAGCGGGTATTTCTGCTGAAGCACTAAACTCGCTAAGTTGTGTGTATCCTATACCTACACATAACAGCATGGTCAAATTATTTAAGCTGACAATTTTGATCAAATAGTTAGGAAAAAATTCAATTTTTGTAAATTTAAAAAAATGTGTAATAAAATTAAACGTACCAATCGCTAATGTACCATTTACAATGGCTTGGTTAATTTCTAAATATTTATTTTCGTTTTGGTTTTCAGAAGTAAATGATGACGTAGTACCACACATTTTACACTTGAAGTAAAATACAGAGTTATAACCTTTACGAATTTCGTTTTTGAATTCCATATCTAAAAATGAGCAGTCGAACTTACCATGTTTACTATTTTGTATTTGCTTGAATAAATGCTTGATGTCAACAATTCTCCGACCTTCGAGACAACTAATAATTTTACATAACACCAGTAATTAATTTGCAGCTTTTTTAAAACGATGAATATTTAAAAATAACATTCGAACTTACTTAGTAGTGGCTGTATCATTATAATTACAATTTTCATTTTCAAGTGGTAGAATATGATTATTAATTTCCGAAATATTCAGATCAGAAATGTTACTCAATGCTTGTTGAGGATTGTCATCAAAAATAATTTTATACGGTGTACTACACTCTCGCAGAACAGGATTATTTGCAGTTAAATCCGAGTCATAATTTATTTCTCTGAAATTATAATCATTACTGAAGTATCAAAACGTAGACGCAATATATATTTTTGATACTTACATTTTCTTTTGTCTCATATTTCTCATTTTTTGAGTCATTTTTCGTTTGCTACTTTTTAAAACGCGGGTTTTTGTTTTGTACGGGGACATAATCACAACAATTAAAAAAAAGTAATAACAACACAATACAAATTAAAAACTATTTCAAAAATATTTACGTAATAACAACAGTCAAAAATTCATATAATAATCAAATAATCGCTTGCATCAGGTTATAAGAACCTTCTGAACACTAATGATGAAAAAGTCTAAGTTAGAGTCTATTTCTTACATTCAAAAAAAACTTACTCATAAAGATGATTTTATCATTTTTATTAGTTCAGGAAACGTAAATTGATGGAAGCAGGGAAGTTCTTATATTTTGGTAATATATATTATTTTTGGTATAAATAGGCCAATAATATTTGGTTGCTTAAATAATTATCGTCATTGGATTAAAATAATTCAAATGTTTATTATTTGGCTAAATAATTTATTTTTTTATATATATTTATATACACGTTATATTTCATTATTTGTATATTAAATACTAGGTTGGCAAGATATACTCGTAAAATTTTATTGTTAATTTTTTAAAGTAGAACAATAGTCAAGCAAAATTTTGTATTTATAATTTTTTAAATAAATATTTTAATACATTTTCAAATCTTCAACTTTGAATCGGATAGAAAAATACAGTTGTTCTGGACGGAGATGGCTTTTAGGGGGGCTAAGGGGCTGTTAAGAAACATTGCGACAATGAACGTTTTAACAGTCATTATAACTTTAAAAGCTCTTAGCGGACGGGCAACCGCGAATAAGTCTTTGGCAGCTAAAAAACCAGTATCCAAAAAATCAGAGCTTTTATATAAAATAAAAATTATCGAAATCAAAGCACGAAAAGTGCTATCACTGAAAACGGGCATTTGCCATGTCTCTGCTCTACCAGTAGTAACATTTTTATTCACCTTGATATTTTCGATAGCAAGAATCGATAATTGTAAAATCAAATGATGCTTTACAGTTTTATATGAATAAAAACTCCTAAATTTCCTAGAATTGAAACAGCCACTTTAATAAGTCATTAAGATAAGGCCGCGTCAATGACGATAATTTTACGCTAGTGGTATGTTTGTCCGCTCGACCAAAAAGCGTTGTTTTTTACAATTATTTTGCATTTTTACATAAACTTATAAATCATTTAATCTTGTTAGTATTCATCTTAGAGTTTTGAAATTTTGAGGAGGCAAAGAATATAACAGTTAGAAATGTTTGTAATGAGCTTTTTAAGATATCACTATTCAGCAATGATTTATTGCAGTTAAAAAAAAAAAAAAATTGATTTTTTAAAAAATTAATTACACTCAAACTAAAAGTCCCCCCCAAAAAAGCCTATTACAATCATTTCGAAATAATGTTTTTTAAATATCCTCAAAATATCAAATTTCTACGATCACTTTAAACCGTATAATATGAATTATACTTTTGATCATTTTCAAGCCTAAAATTATGGTGGTGTAGCGTCCTCTTAAACATATAATTTTTTATATATATTTATTTAATAATTAGTATAGTTGAAAGTAAAATATAAAAATTTATTCTAATTTCAAAGGTAACTAACATGGGCATAATCAAATCACATTAATTAAAAACTAATATTTAATATTAATATTAATAGATAATATGAATATTATAAAATTCATTATTTATTTACATTCTTAAAAAAAAGGGTGAGATGTAGTGCAAAGGATTATTCGGACACCGCCTTAGCACTGATATTCAGTTACGCTATTTGCTATTGATTCCCAGATGGGCGACCTTACGAGAACAATGAAAAACACCTTGTTCCATGATGAGATTGTATCAGATCGACATCCGATGTAAAAATTATGTCAAATCGTAAGATAGAACTAACCCCAAAAAGTTGGAAAAGTAGCTAAGGAGATGATTAATATAATCCTATTGGAATATCATAGAAGCAAATAGTGATTTGAACTACGGGTGCGAAAGTTCCAAAGGTAAAAAATATTTTTTCTCGCGTCGGGCGCTCAATATACGAAAAATATGGCACAAAGCACCCACGCTTTTACCACAATAATATTAGTATTTTTCGTTCATTATTGTTTTAAGCTTATTTTAAAAATTATTTTTAACTTTTTAGTTCAATGTACTTTAAAAGCGTGTTTTTTTAGTTTTTTTAAACTATTTATTTTTTACTTTTTAGTTTCATGTTATGATAGTAGTTACTATCAATATCATGGTTGTTACGGGTAATAAGAGTTCGATTCCAGAGAGGGATCCTGAGAAACTGCGCTACCACATCCAAGGAAAGCAGCAGGCGCGTAAATTACCAACTCCCGGAACATGGAGGTAGTGACGAAAAATGACGATACGGGAATCATCCTTTGTAATAGAAATGAATACATTCTATATCTCTTAATGAGAATAAAGCGTGTTAATATATAACGTTATACCTAAGGTATAAACGGCGGCAGCGGCGATAGGAATATATAAATATATATACGTAAGACGCCATTACACGCGAGAGGTATTGGTCAGTCAAAATAAAAATTTGTTTATATATAGATATAATGATCCTTATAATTCTGTTTATTTAATTCCCTTTTTTTAATAAAAACCCAAGTTGCGTTTCTGTAATTAAAAGTTATATTTTATTTTTTATAAATTAACAAATAAAAGAAAAGCATTACCTGTTGTTAGGAACAGGACTGAACAGTAAACGAACTCCTATTCTTACGAAGGCGACAATTAAGCTAAATTAAGCTAAATAAAAATTATAACATCAAGTATTATGAGATTAAAAGTAAATAAAATTTGTACCATGAGTAAGCCAATTAATTCCAATGCTCTAACTACCTTACCTGTAATATGTGTTCAGTTAGTTATTTATAATATATGATTTGTGATAGTGGACTGTATATGTGCTCAAGAGGAAAAGGGAAATGTGAATATTCAGTGCGACATGATTCAGTGAAATCAGTAAATTTATTGCAATGAGCAAAATACAAGAGTAATGTTAAATACAGACTTAAATTCAATTATTTTGTACAATTATATTAACAAAGTAAATTAAGAAATTAGCAGGTATTGGAAAAAACACAAGTATAATTGTTATGAATGTTAACAAAATGAAGATAGGGATAAGTAATAAAATTGTTCAAGAGAAGTAGTTGAATCAAATATATGAAAAAAAAAACAATTGTTATCAAATTATGAGTTCAAAAACAAATGGACAAACATTAGAATTCAATAACCAAAGGACAGAGTTAATTTCAATCGTGCAATGACCAGTGGTCGATTAAATCAAATTGTAATAATAATATAACAAACGACTAATTTCATTAAACAATAAACAATTAACTCAGCTACACTAGTAAATGAGCAACTCAACTATTTAATTACTTTAGCTTATGTGGACGTATGGACTTGAGTTGCTTTGTACTACCACATGAATAACATAATAAGATAATCGTAACATAAATTACTAGAAACTTAACTACACTTTTAACTTATCTACATTCTAAATTAAATATTACTGGACAATTGTACCAAAGGGCTCGCACTTTAACAGTCTGCTGATTGTGTTTTAATAGAATAATTGTATTGTTACAATCCAGAATAGAGTTAATAGATCTAAAGAGTTTCATACAAATGACAATGTACCCTATGGGTAATGTGAGCTAATGTGCGAACCACAAGGTATATAAAATAACAAATAATAAATAAAATATTAAAATTATTACCAATTAATATTATACAAATTTGGTTTTGTGTTACGCTGCCGGTTCAAATAGGCTAACAATCGTACTTACGAATTAACACCAGACGAACGATTTTAGTAGTAAAACAAAAAAAAATATAATGTTTTAGGTTAGGCGAAAAGCAATAGTTTAACAACGAGAGCGAGACAATAACGCGGTTTTACAAAACAAAAAAACAATAAATCTAGGCGACGGATCTCGAGAGAGTGAATTATAAAACTATAACGGCCAAGCGTCCGATGAGGGAAGTGTTATCACCAGATAATACACTATCAGTATGACCAACTTGAGTGTTCACCCGAACACCTGTAATTAAAAGAAAACAACAATAGAAGTTTTTACTTTACTAATAGCACAGAATAGATTAAACCAGAATGGACACTGATAAAAAAATTACATGTATTCTTATGGGAGTACGGTAATTTTGAGCTTATGTCGCTCAGTGTTACCATAAAATCAATAAAATAAATAATTGTATGCATATAATTCATTGTACTGAACAATAATTGTACATCGACGGTTGATTTGAACTCTAAATGTATTATTTACATGCTAATTAGTTTAGAAAATTTGCATAGTAAATTTTTTGGATTTATTTTATTATTATTTCTAAACATATAACACCATTTTAAAACTTTCAATTAATGTTTTCATTATGTGTAATTAGTTTGTTTAATATATTTTTTATTTTATGTATATTTAATAAAGACTTATTTAGGGGAAAAAAAAATTATTCAATATCCACATAATATTAAATTTATTTAAAACATATATTACAATAATTTACAAATATCATATACATAAATAAATAATTTATAGATGAGTTAAAATAGACAATTTCCTATTTTTAATTTTTTTCTCAGACATTAAATTTTTATTTAAAAATTTTATAGCTGTAAATATTCTAAATCTTGTAAACAAATTAATTAAATACAATTTATCAAAACATTTACAAGGGTGGTTAAAAGGTACATTACAAAAATAATTTTTTAATTCGGCTCCAACTCCATCTACAATAGCAAGTGTGGAAAAGTTATTAATAAAAATATTTTCTAATTCATTAATANTCCATCTACAATAGCAAGTGTGGAAAAGTTATTAATAAAAATATTTTCTAATTCATGAATAAAATTATAAAATGTATCGTGCGGCATCATTAAATTTCCAATTGTTGAGTGGTCTCTTGTGGGGTATGCTTTATAGAATGACAAAAGAAATGACTGATCCAACTGTTCTTGAGAATGTGCATAGTCAACACAAATTTGGCAAGTATGTTTCTTCATACATTTCTTCATTAGATAACCTGACACGTAAGTTAAAGTATTTTGTTCCGGTAGATT